GGCTAAAAGGTGGCTGCACTTGTAGCCTTGCATCAAGGTGTTGTCACAATTGGGGCCAAGAGCTATCCATTTGCTGCTGATAGTGAGGAATCGTGGGGTGGCAGAAAAGCAGCCAAGTGCTCTTGGTCACAAGGACAGAAGAGGCATACTCTTCCTCACTTGTCTGCTTCCATTACCATGGCTACAATTCTTCCTTGCTATAGCTTAGGGGGAAAAGCATTGCTTTGCACCTTGGTGTGAAGCTGTGTTTCTTACCTGAAAGCTGTAACAAGGAAGAACTTTGTTGGTGGAAGTGTGGAGAGCATAGCCTGTTTCTGGCTATAGCTGTGACCATGTGTAATGCAGAGCTAAGAGCACAGCCATTCCTTGACTTGCTCCATCCATGTGTGAAGTTTTGCTTCCCACCCTAAATTTACGGCAAGGAGGAACTTGGAAGTGGTGGCAGCAGCAGGGGGAGCAGGCCCTGGTCGTGACAGTCTGGTTACTTGCCGTTCTAGGGTGTCTCAGGAGGAGGGGATGCTCCACATAAGGGTTTGGTGGAGAGATCTTTGAGCCCAGTGCAGGATGAAAGACCAGGCCCAGCTCTAGTAGGAGCAGTGGATGCATCTATATCTGGAGTTTCAGTGTTTCTGCATTACAACGGGATTTCCCGGAGTATCTTCTGCAGATCCAATGGCTTTGATGTTCCTAACCATTCTACATACAAGAACCATCTACTGCACACCCAGTTCCAGGATCAATTGCAAACCCAACTGTCATTGCACAGTCATCACTGCAGCTACATAGCCAAAGTGACATGGCAAAGAAATAGCAGTTTTGCAGTACAGTAGTGTTTTAACAAAGGCTAATAATGTTTAATGGCACATTATGATACTCTTCATTTTCTTCATTTTCTTCCCCTCCTGGAAACTGCTCTATCAATCTAGATAAAGGCTTCAATGTTGTGACCTTTTGGCTATGAACTAATTCTCATGTGGCCATCATAACAATTTGAGTTTGAGGCCTCTGGTTTAGAGCCAGCTTTGCAAACTTTTCCTTTATTGTTGTATTTCTTTTATTTATCTAAGGTCTCACCAACATAGTCTCCCTGCTTCAATTCCAAGATGAGCTACTTACCATTTCTGCCAGACATATGGGGACAGACTGAGGCTAGGTCAAAAAGATCTGGCAGGAAAATAGCATTTTTCAATAGAAAATGGATCAAGCCCCCTCTATGTGAATGTTCTATATTGTACTATATGCAGGAGGAGCCTGAGAGAGGATAGTAAACTGACGGCTCCAACTGGCCTACCGCAGGACCACCTCCTCCCATCCATGGAAGGGGCTCTGTGCATTTGTGGCCATTTTTGCTTTGGCTGCCAGAGAGAATGAATTCCACAAGTTTGGTCACTATTCCTAGTGGTAATATCCATGGCCTCTCACCCTGGTGATCCCTGCCATTAACCTCTGGCCCACTGGTCTTGGTCTTTCTTCCCTCCGGCAGCAGCAGCCACAGCAGATGGCCTGGCTCCTCATTGCCCCAACAGCTCCTCAACAGCAGCAGCATTTTCATAAGCAGTATACTTTCCTCCCATAAATATACTTATTCTAGGGTTTAGTGATAAATTTCATTGATATATTCTTGCATGATGTTATAACACCACACATTTCTAGTTCTTGCCTCATAATAGCACCAATATTTTAAATGTTTTGCCGTTTGAAATGTGAAGAGCTGAGGATTCAGCTGAAAATCCTCAACACTCATGTAAAAATATAACATTATGACCTGCCTTCAGCTTGTGGAAGTTATCCCGTTTTATTGTATTATCTAAACTAGCTGCAATTACACATGATTCATCTAGGGCTTCTCTGGTCTTTTTGGGAGACTACTAGCTATCAACCACAACTTCTTGAGAGGTTAAAAGGGCTCTTAAATGAGCAAGTATAGAGTTATTTGAACTTTGGCAAGGCTAGGCACAGGCTAGTCCTGCAGTATGAGGAAATATCGGATTTCAGACATTGCCATGGTGGAATAAGGAGGGATGAAAACTTCAGTTGGTGTGGGAATGCTGTAGAGATACATTTTAAAACTGGACTCAAACACAAAGACCTTGCCTTAATTTCAAAAGACTTTTGCAAAATATCAATTCAAATTTCTGACCTAAACAATCTGCTGCTTTCCAGCAGTTCAGCATGCAGGAAGAGAAAAGTAATAAAAGAGACAGAAAGAGAAAATGGAACCCACCCATTTGAGACTGTGGTCCTACTTATAGTTTGAATTCTGCTCACTGTCAACATGCAACTACCTGACAGACTATCTCTGGAAACACATGGTCCACAACAGGAAACAAAAAGAAAGATACCCAACCACTCTCACTGTATTTATCAGGATTGAGAAAGTATCATTTTTCTGCTTCAAGCAGCCAAATATCATGAGGTAGCACTGGTTCAGGCTTAATGTTCCTCTTCATCTGTCCATGGAACAATCTGGTACTAAGAAGCCATTGCCTCATATCTTAACTGTACATTGAGGCGCAAGAGGAGGAGGAGGAGGAGAGCTAAAATGTCCTGAAGAATTTTTGTCTTTTTGTCCTGGCGGGGGGCCGGGGGGGGGGCTGGTGTTGGTGAGGACTCCTAAGCACTTTTGGGATCCACATGTACAGTAATGCACAAGCAGCTTTCAGCATTCGTTACAGTTCTTTGGATCACAGACAACGTACATGTGAAGAAGCTTTGATAATCACTTTAATAATTTCTTGCTTACTTGTTGAGTGTGATGTTAATTATTTAATTGAAAGCCACTGAACTGCTTTTTAAAAATTCAGTACCTAACACAGGGAAAGCAGTACTTCAAAAGGAGGGAATTCAGCTTTCTCTCCCTGGCCACATCTCAATAAAAGTCCCTTTAATGAGCTGTGCATGGGAGAGGCTCCCACCAGCTGCCCCTGAGCAGTATTTCCTAATACTAGTTTTCTGCCTGGAAGAGATGAGTAGGATTTCATGGAGATGGCAGCGGTGGAGGAGAGAGAGAGCTTTCCTTCTGATATGGAGAATTACCGGCTCCCCATGCTGAGCATTTAATTATTTATTTAGAAAAGAGGAATGTGATTTCTAATCACAGAGTGAACTACATTCTTTTTTATAGTACATGAAATGAGTGGGAATAATGAAAACTGGTTGTGGGCCATTCTTGAAGCAGAAGGTTTTTAAATTCTTGGTGAAAGAAATATATTTTCAGTATCATTTAATATATGATAGCTTATCAACTTGCTTCTGTATACTGCAGAATGTTAAATACATACATATGTACCATGAACAATATTCAGTTTAATTAACTCAGTAATTTATATGTAGAATAATAATAATATATCTGTGTCATGTATATACAGACTTGAAAAGTTTAAATAGGACTATCATTTAGTTCTTTATCTTATTTAGGACAGATTTAGAAAGAGAAGAGGAGTTTGAGGAACAGAAAATTGAGTTCAGCCAGGAAGGAGTGACAATAGACAAAATTCCAGATACAATATTTCCAGATTTACATGTATTGATTTGATAACAATTATGAATGTCCAGATTTTTAAATGAGTAAATACACTCATACAGTTCACTATGAACTGAATTAATTATTTACTAATTGTGTAATGCTATTACAGGTAATCCTTGGGGTTACGACCACTTGTTCAGCAACCATTCAAAGTTATGACCCACCGCTTTTTCGCTTGCCCACAGCATCTACACACCCTTCCGTGTTCCAAAGTACCTGCCTGTGATGACCACACATCCACCCCTGCTCCATAGCACCTGCCTGCAGCACCTGCACACCTGCCCACACTCCATAGCGCCTGCCCACAGCACCTGCACACTTGCCACAGCACCCGCACACCCGCCCATGCTCTATAGCACCTCCCTTTGGCACCCACCCACCTGCAGCAGCCACGCACCTGGCTGTGTTCCATAGTGCCTGCCCATGGCACCCATCCACCTGTGCTCCATAACACCTACCCATGGCACCCACCTGCCCTCAGCACCTGTTCACCTGCCCACTCACCTGTAGCTCTCACCCACAGCCCTCGCCTGCTAACTGCTTGCCTGGCACTCCTGCCTTTTCCTATGTTGTGGTCATGTGAGGTCCTCACTTAATGACCCATGTGGTCTTGGCATTATGAAAGCAAGTAGGACTGCCAGGATTGCCATTGCTAAGTGATGCGGTCACATGACATTGCACTTTACAACCGTATTGCTTAGTGATAGAAATTCCGGTCCCAATTGCCATCATAAGCTGAAGACTACCTGTAATGAGGTTTTGCAAATCTTTGCTTGAATCTTTCATACAACATTTTGCAAATCCAGTCACTGACATATTGGTTTCAACTCAGGGTTAATCAGCTTGGATTCATACTTAGCTACTACAGTAGTTGCAGTTTTAAAACTTTTGTTTCACTGTTCAACAGAGCCAGGAAAATAAAAGCTAATGTATACTTTCTAAGTGAAGTCTAACTCTAAGGTGATAAACATGCCAATGATATGTTAGAATTTTCCAGTGCTGCTTTTGGTTCCTAACTGAAGGGAATTTTTTAAAAAATGGGTTGTCATATTAACACTATCCTGTTTTATAACATTAATGTGACATCATGATAAAAAGAGAAGAAAGTTTAAGGGAAAAATGATTTCTCTCAAAGATTTAGGTGTGTCCTGAGAGGATTTTTGTGGACGTTGCAAGCCTTGTTATGTGTAACCTTTCACTGGGTTTGAAAGTTGTAAAACCTGACAGATAAGTTTATCTTTTCCAATCAATAGGGGAAGTGGTATGCTCAAAACAGCAAAGGAACAGCCAAGTCCTAATCAGTGCAGACCAGACTGAAATGGGTTTGAGTTAGCAGAGTTTTTGTAGCTGAGCATGAGATGCTCCAAAAAGTTTTTTTTTTTTTCAACAGATGAGCTGAATCAGTAAAGTAAAACAAGATTCACCTAAAACTCTGCATCTCTGGAATGACATTCTACTATCTTGGGATGAGGACATGGCGGCAGCTGCTGCACTGCAAATTGTAGGATTGATCCTTGGAGGCATTGGCACAGTTGGGACCTTTGCCATCACTGGCATGCCCCAGTGGCGAGTGACTGCTTTCATTGAAAATAACGTGGTGGTCTTTGAGACTATTTGGGAAGGCCTCTGGATGAATTGCATAAGGCAAGCGTCTATCAGGATGCAGTGCAAGGTCTACGACTCCCTCCTGGCGCTCTCACCAGACCTGCAGGCTTCAAGAGGCTTGATGTGTGCAGCTTCAGCTTTGGCATTCCTCGCTTTTGCAGTAGCTGTTCTTGGTATGAAGTGTACCCAGTGCACAGGAAATGATGACCGCATCAAAGGCTTTATTCTCCTGGCAGGTGGCATCTCCTTCATCCTGGCTGGCATCATTGTGCTCATTCCAGTGTGCTTTGTTGCCCATAACATTATCCGAGACTTCTACAATCCCGTCATCACAGTGGCTCAGAAGCGAGAGCTTGGAGAAGCTCTTTACATAGGCTGGACATCAGCCTTCTGTCTTGTGGCTGGAGGGGCAATTCTATGTTGCTTCTGCCGTTGCAATGAAGAAAACAGAAGCTACCGGTACTCATCGCCCTCACAACCGGCTACCTACCGCAGCCACAATCTTCAAAAAAGAGCTGAGAGTGCATATTCTAAAAGTCAATATGTTTAGTTGTCTCGATTCAAGAGGAAGAATCTTTTACCTCAAATATGAAATCTAACAGGGTGAGAAGAAGCTTTGCTAGTGCAACATACTGTGCATGCTGGAGTGCCATTCTGATTATCCACGAACTCTAAGGCAAAAGACAGAAAACATCTTCAGATATTTCAGGGTAGGAATGGAGCTTGAAGCTGGATCTTGTTTCCAATTTGCATTTTTCTAATTAGCATCTATTAAGAAGTATGCACTTATTTATGCTCTGTCACACATATATATCTTCAGAGTGGTGGGAAGGATGTTGTCATTGGGAAACATTTAAGTCTTGCTGAAGTCTTGTATATTTGTGGTGGGGAAAGACTGAAAATATCCATTCTAAATCTATAAATGATTATTTGCATAAGTATTCTTTTTAATAAAATGTTGTTTAGTTGTCAAAAAAGAGTGAAATTATGTGTTTCAAAGTAGGATTTTAATTTCCTGACAAAATGTTTCCTTAGTTTTATCCCAAAGCATTAATACTTTAGGAGTAATTAATGTTTATTCTTGTTATCAAGTAAACTGCAATCTGACATTAATTATATGTGTATTCTATTTCATTCTGCAGTTAAAGAATGTTATTGTTAAAAGCATTTAACATTGCATCAGGTAACAAGTTTTGTGTGGCTTTTCTAATGGCTCTTTGGGTAAATCTAATCTGTATTCAAAATGTTAAGTCTAAAGTTACGTGTAAAAATGGGAGGTTTCTCATGTGGCTGACCAGTAGATGAGTTTTGAGGCAAAAATTTGTCTCTGGGTAGCAGCTCGGATTTATTTTAAGTGTTAATAACTTACATATTTTCTATCATGCGTGTGGCATGTACAAAGCACTTAAGCTTTGGTATTTGACAGGCCTAAAGGAAATGGACCCATTCATGTTACAACATGTTAAAATAGCTGCTGAGATTGCTTACAGTTTCTAAAAGGTTAATAATGTCCATCATACAGCTATACACATGTATTCTTCTTCTAGAAAAAGATGATCCCTTCATAGATTGCTTGAACTAAAATATGGCAGGAAACTGATACAGCAATTGGGCTAGGGTGGTGTTAACTATACAATACTACTTAGATCCCATCAAAAGTTTGCATAGTCCTACAGCTTGCAGTTAGAGAAGAACATTTTAAAATCCTTTTAAAATCAACAATAAGGAGAAACTAACAGACAGGAAAGAAGAGGTGTCTCTCTTCTAATAGAGTTATCCAATTTGTTGTTGAAATCTGGAAATAAGATCTTGATAATTATACTGACTTTAAAGTTTTAAAATGGAGAAAATAAAATTCTCAATATCCCTTGGAAATCTGGAAACCAGCACAAGGGCTTCGGTGTTAGTATAATCCACAATCCTCATATTCTCATTTCCCCTCTTTCTATTGATCTTTTTTGCTTTGCTTCCCTCAAGTTGCAGCATTATGTATCTCCTATCATCTGAGGCTACATGCCTTCAGTGTGCTTATATTATATTCATGGCTATACAAAAATAAATGCAGTCTGTCTTTAATTAAGTCCCTGTGGATTAATTCAGTTCTTCAAATAAATGCTTGAGATTTTTGGGAACAATTAGTTATGGAAGGGGCTATATAAATAGCTTCTGTTTAAATTATTTCACCTCTTTCATTATGTATTCATAGTCCAAAATAATTAGTGTTAGTAGTCCAAATATTAAGACTGGCTGGAGAGAATCTTGAAAAATGCCTCCATTTTTAGAGGTCCATTTCTTGGTTTAGAAGGTAAAACTACTTCACCTCCAATCTATGGCAGAGAGTGGATTTGGCACCTCTTGGCTTCTTCCTCAACTGAGCTGAAAGGAATAATTGTGTGTTTGTATTACTTTTTTAAAAAATCCCGAAGACATTTTGAACTATGGGTACCCAAATTACACAGGCTGCTTATTTATTTTTTTCTCTGTGTTTAAGTGTGTGCTTGCTATTTCACTCACAATATGAATTGTCTTGAGTTTTGATATATTAAACGTTATTCCACATTTGGAATAAAGCTAAATAGTCATAACATTCACTGCAAATGATTGCTTTGAAGAGAGATTACACATAGTTAAGATCAGAGGTAAGAGCAGTAGCAGGTAAAGATAATCCATCAGTTTGGTTTCTTCAATTTTTCCTTTTTCTTACATTAATCTCCTGGGTTCAGCTAAATGATACTGTTTAATAGAGGAGACCTGCAGCATGCCCACTATGCCAGATCTGGCGGGATAAGTAGAAATGATCAGACAAGAAGTCCCATGATAAACTGGCCCTGTGTCATTCAGAACCTCCAGAAGCCTACCAGAAGCCAGTGCAATTCACAAAGCAGTGGTGTTACATGCTCACACTGCTGCATTCTGGACCAGTTGCAGCTTCAAAATGCTCTTCAAAGGCAATCCTATGTAAAATGAATTGTGAGAGACCAACCAGGAGATGACTAAGGCATAAGTGACTGTGAGTACTGCTTCCTGATCCAATAACGGGTAAAACTGGTGCACATGATGAATTTATATAAAGGCCCTTCTGGTCATGACTATCATCTGCTCCTCCAGCAAGAATGGTGAGTCCACCGTGTAGATTTTAAATAGGATTGGGGAGAGAGTAAGCTCTGAAGCACCCTGCAATATAGGGTTCTAAGACTGGACCTATTCCCTCCCTACACTGACTAGAACTGGCCTCAGAGGAAGAAGGAAACCCACCATAAAACCATACCTTCCATTCCTAACCCCCTAAGCCGATCTAGAAGAATAACATAATTGAAAGTATCAAAGGCTGCTGAAGGATTAAGGAAGGCCAGGATGGATGCACCACCCCCATCCTGAACCCATCAGAGATCATTTATAAGTGTGGTCAATGTCATCACCATGCTATTACCTGGCCCAAAACCCAACTGAAATGGGTCTAGATAATCTGCTTTCCCCAAGGCCTTTGGAACTGATACTTCTTTTCCTGAAGAAGATAGTGAGTTTAGTTCACCTCTAGTTGATAAGATCTCTGGCAACTAGTAAGGGAACTACCTTTTCAGATGCTACACAGATGTTGTCAGTCAATGTAAAATAGCATTGATCTAAGTGGATCAATAGTCTAACTGAATAGCAGATAACTTCTTACATTGACTTGAATGAGTACTGATTTGAATTTATTGTGACTGTACAAAATGAGTAAAGTTTTAAATAATCAAAATCAAAGATTACATACTTTGACATCCTAAGGATTAGAACTCTGAACTAATATTGGCTCATTTTAATTACTTTTCTAATTTGATGAAATATGCAAATCAATACTAATATAATTCATATGTTGATGAAGGTAAGCTAATTGTCAGGGCAACAATATTTAACCAGAGAACAAGGTAACCTTGATGTCCAAACAAACCTTGTTTGGAAATCAAGTTTACAAATTTCCAGTATGCAAAAGACTTTGAAGGAAGGAACCAGTTACTCCAGCCACACTTCTTTGTTGGTGACATGTTGCCTGGAGGTAGATCTGACCTCCTGGTATTCATTATATAGTCTAAAAGACAAAAGGAGAAGATGTGGGTAGGGACTGCCATAATATTATAATGCTAAAAGAATAAAACTTCAAGGGGACTGCAAAATTTTCCATAGTCACTGAGTTTTAACTCCCAATAAATAATCTGAGGCTGATAAAGCATTTCCAGGACTTCTTCACAGGCATTTGGATGTACAGGGCTTCACCGATGCTTCAGTCTGCCTCAGGATCTATTTATCTTGTTTTTACTTATCTGTGTTAAAAGAACTGCTTAAGCCATGTAATTATTGATCTGGAGAAATATCAGGGTGTAGCTTGAAACAGACATTCTGCCACAATATTATTTACTAATTACTAATTCATTACTAATTTCATAACTAATGCATGAAAACAGGGAGCCTCAATGTGTCTACATAAATAATTCACATTCATCTGTTCCTTGAAACATTAGCAAATATCCTAAATCCAGCCTTGGATTTTTGTCACCAACAAGTGGTAAATACATTTTACCAGACAGAACATCAAGTTCATTTTACCCATTGTATTTTGACACTGATGCCTTAATTATTGTTGTAGAATAATTATCAGCACTATAGTTAGAACCTAATCATTTAATTATAGTCTTGTAGACACATTGAAATTCAAAAAAGCATCAATGTCAGGTATGATAAGTTGGACTCACCCTTCCCAAGGATATGATTTGCTGCCAAGGTATTAGGTCTTGCTTTTGTAGAATTTTAAGACAGATATATAATAGCCTCAGAGTAGGCAGGAGTGAGTTTCTCTCTACTTGCTCTTCACTGGTATAGATGGAGGCGATCTTAAATTCATCTGGCCCGGGAGGAAATTATGAATATATTGCCATCTTTTCAGAGGAATGAAGATCTTCCTTAGAAAGCGTATTCTGATTGTTGCTTTTCCGGGTGCAATTTTCTGAGATGGCTTTCTGTCCATTACAAATGGTGGCTTGGCTGTTTGGGATCATTGGCACGATTGGAACAGTTATTGTCACTCTGATGCCTCAATGGAAAGTATCAGCCTTTACAGGAAACAACATTATAGTCTTTGAGACTATTTGGGAAGGCTTATGGATGGTATGTGTCAGTCATATCAAGAATTATCAGTGTGAATTCTACAAATCCATACTGGCCCTTCCACCTATCTTAGACACTGCCAGAGGATTAATGTGCACAGCTTGTGCACTGTCAGTTATTGCCTGTCTGATTGCTTTTGCTGGCATGAAATGCATTCAAAGTCCAGGCAGTAATGAACAAGTCAAAAGAAACATTTTATTCACAGCTGGAGCAATTTTTCTTCTGACGGGGGTTTTTGTGCTGATTCCTGTTTCCTGGATTGCCAACGATATCATCGAGGATTTTTACAATCCAGAAATCCAAGCTGCTCGGAAACGTGAACTGGGAGCCGCCCTCTATTTAGGCTGGATCTCAGCAGCCTTTCTAATCTGTGGAGGAGTCATGTTTTGTGGTTTCTGCTGCTGTTCT